CTTCTTGGGTAATGTGACCTGCTCGACTTGGAGGGTCTAGACTTCAGGAGGCCAGCTCATCATGGTTAGCTTATGGTTCGCACCATAGGTAAAGAGCAGTTTCAGAGTGATGTCTGTGGTCTGGAGATCCGGTGGCTCGCCAGCCCCGTACTCTTCAGTAGAGTCAAGTCAGTTCTGCAGAGGAACATGCGGAGGGAAATGTTGCCAGTTCGATCATTCAGGCGCTGGTAGGCTTGGGGGGCTGAAGTGCCAGCGGCTCGCCCGCCCCAAATCAGAGTTCCCGTGTGGTAGAGGGTGGTGTGGCTAAAAGATTCAGGTACTCATGCAATTGGAGGGCTGGAGTGCCAGTAGCTCGACAGCCTTCCTCAATTGAAGGTTGGTCTCGTTCTGATAAAGCATGGTGAAAAGGCTCGGTGAATTGGCATCTTCGTTTGCACACTCTGTATGCACGACGTCCTTATGCTAGACAACGCAGGTTCACCACACATGTGTGTGTGTAGAAATGTAGTCATGTGAGGTGCTATGGCAGGATAGGGTGCAAATTCATGAGATCCTACATGCACCTAGGCGGTCGTGACCTCGGGGGTACATGACAACAGGCCTGCCGACTCATGCACGAACTGCGAGACCCACACCTCCGCCATCCTCTTGCCTGCGTCTCTGAAAACAAAATCCGCATGGCTATGTACAAGAGAGACCGCTGCAGCACAGGTTGCGGCAACCAGGTTCAATTGTCTACCGATCTTTCAAATTGACTGATGCCGCAGTGACCGGGAGAAGGGGATGTAGAAGACAAAGAAATGCCAAGTTTTTGGACTGAGCCGCAGTGATGCGCACTGATGGAAGGCAAGCGTGTGCAAACGGATTGGAGACAGAAGCACTTGGTCGTTCGATGCACTGCGTACACGCAGCCACTTCCCCATTTCTCTGGCTCATTGCCTTCGCTCTGGTCATTCGCTCAACGCTCGCGTGCTAGCCCAGTGGCCCCCTCACTCGAATTTCCTCATTCTCGCCCGCTTACATTACATACTCAACCACACCCTCACTTGCGCACCCAGACACTTCCTGACTCACTCAATCTTGTCATCCCACACACACCACGTGCTTCCCTCATTGTAATTACACGTCATCACCGTACACGCTCCGCGATTGAATGCTCAATCGTTGCTCTGCTTGTACCCGCTCACTCCACTGCCCTGCCCTTGCCCTGCACTCACGCAGCGATGCGCTCATCGGCCCACATGCTGCATGCAGACCTTGACTTCTAGCACTCGTCCCGCTTACTCACTCATTCGCGCCCTGCTCTCTCGACTCCTCGTTCGACAACTCATGCATACGTTTGTTGCTCCAGCCGAAGCTACGGAGCTAGGACTTGCCCCTCCAGTTTCCACGGGCCACCCCGTGTTGAGCCACCACCTGCTTCCTAGCCCCTTGTCAACACCATCCACGCTTGGCGCCCGCATCCACCCAGACCTCATCCGCTCAGGCACCGCGTTCATCTGACAGTTACACAGCCGAACGAAATGCTGTGCTAAGTAACATGCTTTCCTTTGGAAAATTCAATGCTTGCCTGTTAAACGCACCCCCAACCCAAAAAGATTTGCCACAGGCATCACCTCCAAACCAAGTCCCTTGAATCAGGAAACACCTCCAGCGTACGTAGATGTGCCCAGCGACGTTCACCCACCACATCCAGCAGCACCCAGTGCAACAGTTTGAAACCCCGTGGGCGTCAGCCGCTTGGAAGGTTCGAGCACATGGGGCGGCAAGCCACTGAGAATTGGACAAGTGTGCAAGCATTACGAAATGTAACTATCCTACGTGAGATGATAACCGTCGTGTCACAAAGCCGTCTCTGACCAAGAGTACCAAAGCAGCACGCTTTTGAGCAGGGGCAGTCAGGTGGATGTACGTACGATAGATGGGAAGTCATGTTCGCAATGGCGGGATCTGCAGGGAGAAAGAGTTCTCATGATTTTGAGGTGATGTGCTCTCCCTTTGCCCAGTCACGCGTACTCTATCCTTATATTTCATAGAAGCATGGTTGCTTCCTCGGCCGTTTTACTGAAATGCCAAGGTGCCCCCCAACCTGCACCATGCCAGCTTGAACCCCAATCCCCACTGAGGTCCTTGTTGCTATGAATGGGGTTGGATCAAAGTAATTGGTCTTGTATTGGGCTGCGCCAGGCAGAAGAGGGCTCCTGGCCAGCCATTTGTGATTGGCTTTCTCAGTGGCTGTGCTGCTGCCCAAAGCGTGACGGGCATTGAGCCAGCAAAATAGTGAATCTTCTTAGTATTAAGACGCGAACATACACGAACAACTATGAAGATTACTATTTCGACCTGAGACCATTCCTGCTTACTGAGGCGCGCGATCGAAAAGTTTTCACCGGGACAGCAAAATGACAGCCAAGCAGCATGTTGGCCACTTGAACTTTGCTTACCCAGAATATTGCTTACCAGCAATCATCCGGAACTCCAGACTCTTAACAAATGTGACCCCTTGAAAGGGGCTCATCATGTTGAGAAATGCTCATGGAGGCATCAGAGCGATCCCTTCATGGCGAATCCGGATAGAGTTTCAGGCCAACCCTGCGCTTTGAATCTGGCACATATTGCCTTTCAAGCGATGCTTTCAAGATTCAAGCGATGCCTAATGCGGGCGGCGCTTGCCAGAGGGAAGGGATGCTGCTGACGCTCAAGAGCCGCAGATTGCCTCCATCCTGCGGACCAAAATTTCAAGCACGGAGGGGTGTGTGGTGTGGGGCTGGTGATAGTTTCCACAGTTTCCACAGAGCCCCGGGTAGCACAGCAGAGGCACCTTGCAACCAACGTTTACCGCAATGTGGAGGTTCCAAAGTGGAGACCTCGACCTAGTCGCTTCTCGATTCCAAGTGAAGAAACCGGAGCGTGACCTGGATCATTTGTTCGGATTCCTGCCCTGTTGGGATTGCGGCATGCTTGGAAATCAGCACAACGCAGCAGGTGTCAATCTGTCCTTCCGCAATAAACGCGAGATGATTAGCTGCGGCTTAGCCTGCGTTCTCCATGTATACCCCAAGACTAAGAGAGATTGGAGGCTTTGATAGAGATTACGTAAAGTCTTCTGGGATGAAGCGTTTGAGACTTTGACGCGAGCATTTCCCCTGTGACAAAAACAATTATCAAGCCAGCACATAAGGTGATGCTGAGATCCGTTATCAAGCCCATAGTCCCAGAAGACTTCGTAGTGAGCTGGGCAGCACTTGGCAAACCATATCTCTGTCACCTCGATGTAGCATTGCAGGTCGTTACCTAACCAGCCTTTATGAGCCTAGATATGCCAAGGCTATTGCTAGACGTTCGCCTGCACTAAACCCTCGTGCGTAGAGAGAATTCTGAGTCCAATGTTCCAGCTCTGCCGGGTGGGTGGTGCGCACATATTGCTTCGGATCTTATAGGGTGTCCGTGAGGAAGTTTTGCAGTGTGCGGCACTGACATACGGGGAAAAGCCACGGAGGATTCAGGGTAATGTTTGGCTTTAGTAACGTATCATAAAGCGGCTCCCCCCCACTCCCCCCCGTCCGTGAATGGCAGAAGTAGCCGGGTGCTTGGTGGACCCTGCGGGCTGGCAGCATTTGACCTTAGCTTAGAACTGAGGCATGGAAGCCGCTACATTCACTCGACATAGGGGATACCCGGTGTTAGATCGTCTCTTGTTTCAAGCTGCACAACAATAACCACTCAAACATTATTACGAGCAAAACATGGAATTTCTATCCTGCTGGGCACGGTGCCATAGGCAGCACTAAATAACCTCTCAGCCGTTTCCTGGCGCCTCGACTCCTCTCGGCCTGGGTCTTGGAAGCTTGAGCCAATCTGCCAGTGACAGCCCGTTCCATGAAGCTGGACACCAGTCAGAATAGTGGCAGTAGCGCCAAGATGTACTACGTAACAGAAGCCGATGAGTGGGTGCTAGTTACTCTTGCTTGTCCATGAGAGGCAACGGCTCCCTCATAGGGTTCCATCACTACTCGCATGAGCCTCTAAACTTTGCAGTCAGAATGGTGAAGAATTTGCCGTATAAGGTCTACTTTGGAATATGCGGAGGGAAGCCGGGGCCTCAGGCTGGCGTAAGGAGACACCTTGTCCAGGTAGTGACTGGCTCTTTTCACGGCTCCATGTTCAGAGGCTCGTTGATCGTAGCTTGCCGCGGCATTCGGACGACAAATTTCAAAATTCAAAGAAATGAACGGCACATATTTGCGAAAGCTTGCTTGCGTACCACAAGTTTCATTGAATGTGCTGTTGAAGACAGATAGACAGCTTGACAAGCACAACAAGAATAGTAGCAACAGAAGAATCAGAATAGCCGTGGTAACCCTCATGCTCACCAAGCAGCAGTCACTGCGTGGGATTGAAGGTGGGTCAAGGGTGTTCGTCAGCTTTTCAAGTTGTTTCCGGGCTCCACTGCTTTGTTTTTGTGCTTGGCATCTTGCACCATTGTGCTAACATGCTTCAGGCCAGGTATTGTCCAGGAGAAATGTGGCACAGCGGCACAGAAGAAGACCGTGCTGAGAAAGCTTGATGGTTGTTGCACGCCAGGTCGATACCGACCTTTCTGCAACAACTGCTGGGTTGCTGTCAGCTGCTAAGGAACTAAAACTAAATTCAGAGACCATCGTATGGATATACGGAAAATGCGAATCATGGGGTTCACCATTTTAGCACTGGAGAAATGTTCCTCTGAGAGATCTTCCCTCGAAACATGTCTGTTGATTGTGTGATGTTTTTCCAGGCATATTTCTCGTTTCCCAGCAGCATCTTGCTGGCAAGACGGCGGAGCTTGATCCAGGCCCTTTGCAGAAGCTCTGGGTGCTGCGGCATTTGTGCACAGAAGGCATCTTTCCCTCGGTGGACTAGCTGTTGCGGGCTAGAAGTAGAAGGCAAGAGAGGCTAACCCAGCCATCCCAAAGGAAATGCCATGCCCCTGCTGCACAAATCTTGATGCCTGCCCCTAGGTCGCCGTTGCTCAAGAAAACCATAGCTACACAGCCCGAATTCCGGGCAAATCTCCCGCAAGTTCCATGGCAGAGTCGTCTAAAGCCAGGTTTCCGCCGTTGACCAAGCTCCGCCTCATTGTCCTCATTTCCCTGCTCACGTGTGGGCGTGCCATTCGTGAGGGGCGACAGAGGCTGACTGGGAATGATGGTGATGAGCCAGCAGCCAATACATCCAGCGATGCTGAACCAGCAAGCGAAGTTATAGATGAGGCGAAGAAAGAGATAGAGAAAGAGCTGGAGGGCCCGCAGAGGGACGAGACGAAGTGTAAGCCTGTACATCTGACGCTCCAAGGTGGCCACCGGCCAGGGGTGTTCTTTTACAGCGGAAGTTCTGGTGGAGTCGTCGTTTGGCCGGCATCCAAGTACGGTCAATTTGGTCTTGCGCTCGGCTCGAACAGGGACATGCAGCTTCACACGCTCGGCGACAAGGATGTCAGCAAAGATTCAGAAACTTCAATCGTGCTCCACTGGGCATCACTTGTACGCGGAGACAAAGATTACCCGGTCGAGTTGGATTGTGATGATTCCTTTCCGGGAAGGATTCTAACAACAGCAACGACAAGAATGAGTGTTGGTGTCGCCCTGATGTTCGTTCCAGTCTTACTTCTGTTTGTCTCCTGGTGCAGCAGTAGTATGATTGTGTTTGCCTTTGATGCCCTGTCATGTGGTCCCCTAGGCAGGTGTGAGACCAAGGTGGGCTTGGCGGTGTTCATCATGCCATGCTTCTTTTGTCGCTTGTGTGGGGTCTGCAGTTGGAGCGTATTGGCCGCGGTTCCTCCGGGTCCTGAGCCTCGTGATGAAAACGCACCACAAGCCTATGCAGTACCCCGTCTTGATCAAGGCTGGCTCATCCGTGCCACAGATCGAAGATGCATTCGGACCGGCGTTGTGGTTGCCTTCGCTGCCGCACTGACATGCACCCTGTACTTCCAAGCGTATGCCAGCCAGGTCCGGAGGGTGGAGCTTGCCATGCTGTATTGCATGGCATTCTGCCAGCTGGGGCTGGGTCTTGCAGTGACATGGGGCCTGAGGGCCTCTCGCCATGTGTTGCTAGTCGCGGACGGCGCAACATGTCCAGAAGATGTCCGGAAGTCCTTACCAGCTGAGTTCCGCATGATAGCCTGCATTCTTGGACCAAGAGCGCTCCTCACCATCCTCGTGGGCATGGGGGTGCTTTGCGCAGGCTTGGCAGTCGGCGTCCAATTTGTGCGCGAGACAGTAGTCGACGGAATTTACGTGGCCTTGTGGGATATACGCTATGACATGTACAATGATCGGTATTCTTATTTACTTGGAACCTGCTTCGCTTGCGAGGGAGTGCTCTTCATCATGACGGTGACGTTTTTGCTTGAGGCCACCATTGCGGCCCGTGTCGTTGAAGCCCACGTTAGCAAAGTCAAGACTGGCTTGGACATGACAGTGGCCGACCCAGGCTCGCTGAAGAACACTTGCCATGAGTGCGGAAAGCTGGCAAACGAAGTTCTACCCGAGCTGGCGAAGATCAGCGGACCCTTGCTGTGTGTGGCAACACTGAAGGCAGCCTTCCACTTTGCTTGTGTGGTCTTAGCTCTCTCCAGAGCTGCCAAGGCTCCGGCAAACCCGTCATTCCTCTTAGTGCTGGGTCTCAAGTTGGCATGCTCGTTGCTGGACCTGCTAGTGGGGCCCCTCTGCCTCTTTCTGCCTGCCCGTGTGTCGGACGCGTTCGCGGACCTCTTGGACACCTTGAACAAGCTGCGGGTGAAGCCAGTTAAGGAGGGTTGCGATGCAGAGGTAGACAGATGCTGAATCTACAGCCGGAAATATTTTTGTGTTTTGAAGAGCTGTTCCAACGTGATCACCATAAAGTCATAGCTCGAGCAGCTAAAGGTCCTGAAAGTGCTTTTTCTGCGGCACTCCCACGGGATTGAATGCAACCCCCATCCATGATCCACCACTGATGCGCCGAACACAACAAAGAACCGCAGAGGCCTAGAACATTTGGTTGCGCGAGAGCTTTCCCATGCATAGCCCTCAACCTCAGGAGAGATCCGACTCATTCGCAGTTTCGTCCAAGATGCAAACCGCGGCAACGGTCTGGGCTTCGTCCTGTTCGGGCGCCTTATTTGTATTGAGCTTGATACGCTTTCGCCTGCAACTCAAAGAAGATGACGTGGCTACGTCTTGGGAATTTCCAGGTGCTGGGGGATCATATCTTAGGTGGTTGAATTGTTTGGTTTCTTGAAACCAGGACAGTAGTGGACAAGAGGATGATCATCTCCGTTGCTGCAAAGATCCTGGCAGTGTCCTCTGTCATCGTGACATTGCTACGTGAGGTGGGACGGGTGTCGGAAAGACTCTGTTGGTTTGAAAAGAATTCGGGATCTGCAACCTGCCCGTTTACCCCCAGCTTGACTGCTGCAGTTTCAAAGAAGTCTTCCTTCCCAGGTATACAAAGCGGGCAAAGAGGAGACAGAAGCGGAGGAGCTCCTTATGGGAGATGGACAAGTCTTTTAGCTGATTTCAAGTTGCTGGGCTCGGGGCCCTTGTTTTCATCTGTAAATGCAAATGCAACCACAGCCTTTTGGAAGGCACAAAGGTTGCACGGCTGCCGAGAAAAGAAACCGTTTCCAACTGCTTCATATGGACATAGCTGCGCTGCTGCAAGGCGTCTTGGCCCTTCGCCCCATCATGCAGACTGCAATGCTCATGCTTGGTGGAAACCCCGACCCCAACATGAAACATGAGATCCCAGCCCGATCTATCACACCAGTGGCGCAGGTCCGCTCGGTTGGGCAAGGCCAGGCCGAACTTGAACTTCTGAACTTGGATCAGCGCACGTGCTGTAGGGGATAGTGGGCAATCGTTCCCAGGCTTCAGCAATCTGGCCTCCACAACTGGAAAAATGCTTACGTGTCAACACGTCACACATGTCTCGAGGATTCCTAGGAGCAAGCTGAGTGTACAGACATGAATCAGGTGCTGTGGCGGCAGAACATTACAAGCGGCGTGTTACATGGTGCCGCAGCGTGTGTCACACTCGAAGCCGAAAAAGAGTGAAGACACTTAGGTGCACTGGCGTGCAGACAGTTTGCGCAAGGTTTGTGTGTTTGCAATTGTTGACTTGGGACAGCATCATCGCTGCAAGCACGATTGCTCCAGTCCAGCTCCCATGATGTTGTCACTGTTGATTTTGCAGTTTGGCAACATTGTTGCATGGGCAGACTGTGGCGGCCAACAAAGGCCAGCGCAATCCCAACCTTTCGGACTGGCAGTGAGCTTCACAGTACTTGCTTCTGGTTTTAGGTGCGCAAGGTGAGCAGATGCCAACATTTTAGCTCCATGGGGCGAAAGCCACGCGAGAAGAAGGGCACTGATGAGTCTTTCATCACGTCAGACAAGCGAGCTGAGCAAGCAGCTGCAGATCGTGATCGGCTGTTTCAACTTGTTTTTGCCGGACAAAATGCGGCCGTCGAAGCAATGTTAAAGCGAGGAGTAGACGCAAATGCCACAGATCGCGAAGGGTGGCCATCACTCTTCCATCCAAGCCAGCGTGGTCAGCTAGCCCTAACCAAGCTGTTGCTTGCTCATCGCGCCACTGCCTCCTTCGTCGGCAAGTCTGGCGAAACTCCACTGATGATGGCCAGTGAGCAGGGTCAATCGAAAATCGCACGGATACTTCTTGCTTCCCGCTGCAGCATTAATGCTGCGAGCAGCGACGGCACCACCGCCTTGATGGGCGCATGCTTACACAGCCAGATCGACATGGTCCGTCTACTTCTCGAGGAAAGGGCTTTGGTGAATGCCAGCACATTGCAAGGAGGAACTCCACTTGATATTGCCTGCCATGGTGACAAGGTTTTGTCAGCAGACATTGCCAAGCTTTTGCTTGCCTCCCGGGCAGCTGTAGATGCAGAAAACGGTCTCTCGGGAACGCCTCTTATGACCGCATGTCAAAATGGGCATCTTGCTACTGTGCAGATCCTATTGGCTCATCGAGCCAATATCAATCATTCTAGCAAGCTCAGACAAACGCCGCTTGCAACAGCAGTCATGTCCAATCAGAGGGACATTGGCAACATATTGTTGCAGCAAGGAGCAGTCCTGCGTATAGCGAGGCGACCAATTTGTCTCTATCGCGAACTCCTGCAGGTGCCTGGAACCCGTGCTAGAGTCCAGGGTCTTGCGCAAGCAGTGCATTTGAATGGCCTGACGGGTGAGATCCTGAGCTTCGACCCTGACACTGGCAGGCGTGCTGTTCGACTACCAGATGGAAACAAGTCGATCAAGTCTTCGAACTTTCAGCCCCTCGGGAACTTTGAGGTGGATGTATCACAGATGCAGGGCTCGCTGCGCAGGCTAGCGAAACTCCTCAAGCAGAAGCTGGGTCGCGAAGCCAGCTCAGAAGATTTCCTCTGCTTGGTTAAGAACTTGGACGAAGACCACCTCCAATGCACCTTGTATCTACCGGAGCTCATGCCTAGTGGCGCCATCCAAGGGACTTCGGTGCACACAGCAAGTCACCCGTGCGGGGAGAGTGCAAAGTTCGAAGCTGTGGATCTGGCAGCGCAGCAAGCACTAAAGGCACTTCCGGCAGAGGGAGGGAATTGTTGACGATGGGTCATCTAGCAGTTCCGGGACGAGTGCAGAAGATGGTTTGCTTGAAAGGACTCTGCCAGACTTCGAGAGTTTAGATTTCAACGATTCCGACGTGGTGGCGGATGTGGTGGAGCGCTTCAACAAACTGGCAGCAAGGCACAGCCATGGTCAGCATGACATCAAACAGCTGCCTGAGGCAATGGGGCTGCCAGGGCAACTAGGGCCCAAAATCATTCAAAACGGCAAGGCTATGCATTTGTTCTCGCCAGACATCTTTTCCGACTTGGTCGCAGACGGCAAGTGCACCACGTGGAGCCCTGGCACCGCCGTAGTCACGGAGGATGGCCGCAAAGGTACCATCGTTCTGTTTGATGCGGTCGGTGAGCTCTACTCTGTGCGGCTAGGAGCGGCTAGGAGGTGGCAAAGGGCGAGCCTTCAAACCTTCGCAACTTCGGCGCGCCCCTATGCCCAAAGAAGCCGGCAAGAAGATGATAGACGCGATCCGTACCTTTGAGGAGCAAAGTGTCATGGCTACTTACCTGACGAAGCACTATAAAGTTCTGCGGATCAAGTTCCACAACAGTTTCGCGCTGCTCTTCATGGGAAGGATTTATTCTGGGCATTTCACCAAGACACGCGGGCATGGCCTGACGGTGTTGAATTTCAAGGCACGGCCACCTCCACTGATGCAATCGTTGAGCGACGTAAGGAGATATTCGGCGAGGACTGGTGTTACATGAGACTACATCTCAAGGCCACGGACAACCCTGCAAAAGAAATGCCCTTCAGGGACCTTCCAGCAGAAGTTGCTGCGGAGTTACTTGGAATGCTTGGCCAAGCACAGCAGCAGCAGGGCGGGCCTCCTTTGAACCCGGTGATATTGTGCAGAAGCATGCGCTGGTATCCATCGCCTATTCGAGTAGTGTGACCATGCATCAGGGAAAACTCTGCCAGCTCCAGGATGCAGGTACTGCGGCAGCCTTCCGCTTGTCACCGGAGGAGATGTGGGGCATCGCTGGGGAGACTTTGGACGGCCTCATGGTCAGATTTCCTATGAAAATGGTGGCACCCACAGATTTAGACTCGGCAGATGCAGCAACACACTTTGCTGCATTGGACGAGCTCCAGAATCAGAATGCCCAACTGCATGCCACTCAGGTTGCAGAGCGCAAGAAGAAAGAGGAAGCGATTCAAGCCCTTCAGCAGACGCAGCGCTCCCACGAGGCAAAAGAGAAGCAACACCGAGAGCGTGAGCAAAGCCTGCTGCAGCAGCTGGAGGGGGCCGAATCCAAGTTTGCTAAACTGCAGACTTCATTGGAGAAGGAGAAGTCTGCAGCCCTGGGCAAACTGAAGGCAGAGATTGGCAGGCTCCAAGCTACATTGAAAGAGCAGGAAGCTGCCTTCAGAAGGACGGAGCTTGAACTGGTCCGCGAGAAGCAAGATGCGCTCGAAAGTTGCCGGGGCACCTCCACCAGCGAGGAGCCAGCAGCATGTCCTTCCTCGTAGCGCTTCTAGCAATTGCCGCATTAATCCCGAACCTTTCATTCCATCACGCAGCCACTGGAATCAAAGCTGCTAGGAGCTGGAAGAGGTGTTGCAGGAGCTGGCAGCCAAATCTGCCGAGCTGGCACAGCAGCCGGCTCTGTTGTGGTGGAGCGGTACCGGGAGTTCATGACAACTCACAGCGACCGGATTTATCCTGAATACCTGTTGGCAGTTCGCACGGTACAAGAGAGGCCTCTGTACTAGAGAGGCCTGCGTCGTTGCGTTGAAAATCCTGCCAGGGTCAGAAAGGCTGCGGATGAGAGAGACAAACAACGAGAGTATGCTTTCTACTGTACCAGCGACTGACTGGCTGCATAGCTCTGGGATCTCAGACCATGTGTTCCTCATGGATTTTGGCACAACAACAAACTCATGGTGTCAGAGTTTCCCAGCAAAATCAAGCCAGGTAGCCGAAGCTCAAACTATGAGCTTCAAACCAGCCGAGTCAGCATGGGATGGCGTCCCAGTAATTTCGAACAAGAACTTGTAGAGCACCTTTCGCCTACTGCTCGGCGCCATGAACGGAGTGATCGATATGGAGGGCGTATCTCAGCTGCAGAAGCAGGAGCAGTCTTACACTCGACCTCAGGACCCATTGCAGCAAGCTGACCTTGAAGCTCAGGCGAAGTTCTCCATGATCAACAGCCTGCAGCAGCCTCGCAGTGCAAGGATAGTTTCAGGTGGGTGGCTACCAGGTGGGCTCCCAGTATGGGGAGGGGGTCTATGTAGACCTCACTTAGGCCTACCACTCATAGTAGGCCCAGCAGAAGAGGGGATACCTGTCAACTACTCACCTGCAACTCTCCTTGGGTGGCGACGAAGACCTGTGGGCATTGAATGTTTGAACTGTTCTTAGGAGAAGTGGGAATGCACTGTACGACACGATGCCGCTTGGCTGCGATAAGACCAAGCATCAGGAGCGCACGGATTTAGGACATATCAAGGTCCCCGTACATGCGCCAAGATAGTAGGATCCCTTCCGAAGAATCGGATCTGCCCTTGGAGGGTGGCGCTCATCAGGATTGCTATGCTGATCCCCGTGCTGTTCAAGTTGCTCGTGCCTCAGACGACAAGCACCACAGCCTTGACGGAAGCCCGGTGCAACCGCGTAGCTCGGAAAATTCGAGCATGCCTTCACAGGCTATAGAACCCTTCAGATATCTTCAAATAGTTGTGGGAAGCCTTGCCAGCACTCACTCATGTTGCTTGTGCGTGCACACGTGTGCTTGTGCGCTGAGGCTCTTTGATGGAGCATCAAGCATGCTTCCGTTTCTCAATGATATTGCAGCCAAAGTGAAGAAATATTTCAGGACTCCATGTAGGAACCGTATAGTATACTTGATGCTCGTCTTGAAGCTCTTGGCCGCTTTTTGACAGACATCAGTTTGAGGAGGTGAATAATGCAGATTGAGTTGGCAACTGGCAGTTAGCAGCGGGGGCAGATTCCTTGGAGGACTGTTTCTGGAAGAGCTGGTTCCTGTATCGTTTGGATATCCAAGACCTCGAGCACTCGGATAGTTTGCAGAGGCTTTTGCGCCTTCTGCATGTTTGGCCGCATGGGCATAATGCGAAACATCGTTGTCACACTCCAGTTAGTGGGTCAAGGCTTTGTTTAAGGTTTGGCTTGGCTTCATACTAAAGAGCAACACAACCCCTTAACCCTGGAGACCCCTCAACTAAAACGCGCGAGCCAAACCATTTAAGAGAAGGAGCCCTCAGCCAAACCTTGTTCAAAAAAGATCCACCTCCATGCGATGGCTCGCGGATGTGGCATTCTCATCAGCAAAGCCTCTTGCACATGCACTTTTGATACCCTGCAAATGCGCCGTTGCCAACTCAGCTGAAAGCATGGAAAGTAGGCGAGTTATGGCTTGAGGGCACGGTTATCCTTGGCCATGACTGCCCTACGTTGGCGCAAGATGCTGCTATGCTTAGCAAATCGTTGAACTTCGCTGCCTGGCAGGAGAGCGCCGCCTGAATATTTTCAACGCACAATCGAGGTGGGCTCTTGTGGGCTTTCATCTATTTGCTGGTGCTAATGGAAAATGAAATGGAGACTACTATAATGGAGAATGAAATGGAAAAGAAAATGGAAAATGAAACGGAGACTGGGATTATATAGGGGTCATATTAGGGTTTAGGGGTTAGGGCTACGGGTATCAGAAGGAAAAGGCAAGGAAACTAGAAGCTATGACATTCTTGGGGATTGTACCATTCCTTGCTAACAATCAGTAAGCAAATCGAGGCATGCCTCCAGATGACACAGGGACGCTGGGAGTGCAAAGAGATGAGTCTAAGCTTGTTCAACCGCTGGGCAAATTTATAGCGAGCTCCCCCCCAACTGTCATTAGTTCCTTTCCGGAACGTAGCCAACAGGGCCGTAATACAGGATACTGAATGATGCCAGTTTGGCGAGGCTTATTCCGGCTTTGCTTTCCGAGATGAAAGCTATGGGAAGGCCCCTAGGCCCGTTCCTGACCACGAACCTGAATTTCAAATCTAGCTGCTCAAAAAGGGTTTGCACTAGGCAGGGCGGGCAGCTCACAAGACCCGGAGCGGGATGAATGCATGAGAGGGCTCTTCCGACCAGATGCCCCCCGCTGCGAATACCTTGAAGTTTGATTTAGCACCATACAGTGGTCCAAGGGTGGTTCAGCAACTTTGCCAGAGTTCGAGAAGCCCTCGGCCCAGACGTTTCGGGGGCCAGCTCGCCCCACAACTCAGACGCTAAATCGTAGTGTGACGCATCTTGCAAGGACCCTAACATACTGTTCGATTGATGCCAATACCATAGCCGCACTCTTGTCGAGCGTCAGCGAGCAGCACAGCAACCCTGAGAGCGTCGCCCAGCGAAGGCCGCCTCGCGCTCGCCAACAGAAGGGGTCGTCAAGGAAGCCCGGCCTTCTTTCGCCCTGCAAAAACCCAAAACCGGCTGGGGTGGGGGTGCCACAAAGCCGGGCTTCCTCGAATCTGCATGTAACGGCCACCAAAACTGGGAGGCAAAAAATGCCAGGTGTCTTTCACCTTGCGTTTTGCCAACAAAACGCGGCAGCAAACGAAGGCTGGGCTTCGTTCGCCCTGTATTTGGGGAAGGGCCAATTCCATTTTGCCAACCTGCATTTTGCCAACAAAACAGCCGCTGACGCTGCAAAGATCCAACAGAAAGTGACCCCGTTCAAAAGCCTACCCTGAAGTCTGGCAGGTCGAGCAGATGAGGCAAAGCAATGGCTACCTCTACAACCCGGGACCTGGACATGACAGATCCACAGTGCTACTGAGAGCATCTGGGCTGGAACAGAGTTCGGGGCTTAGGGTGTAGGCTTTGGCTGGGCTTAGGGCTTGAGCGATGAATATGTACTGAGATTGTGCGAGTTGTTTTTAAGTTTGCCAGGATGGTTGTAGAGTGGCAGGGGTCTAGGTCAAGCGGAATCCCAAAACAACCTAGATTCTAGACGGATCTTCTCCTCTTTGCTGATTCCTGCCGCTGCATTAGAATATGGTCAGGACCCCGTTTCATGTTAGGCGCTGACGCAGTACATCGCGGACAAGGTTTCCTCCTACAAGGAGGCCAAGGTATCCTTGGAGGACTGGCAAACCCATCTGAGTAGTATTTTATTTGGGGATACTATGGTACCCAATATAGAGTAAGATTATATCCCCCTTTTAGGGTATAGTATCTTATATAGGGAATATGATCTTACTAGGTTCCCTGCTGGGAAGGCATGTCTCGAGGCTTCCGGAGGAAGACGTGTACTGAGGAGTTGTGATATTCAGTGTCCCCACCCATTGCCATAAGCTAAACTTCTAGCCCCCCCCCCACTACGAGCCTTTTCCACAATTCAAACGCTGGTCCGAAATTAGCTTCTCTCAATATCAAAGGGGCTGAGCACCTGTGGGTCTTGGAGGACCACTATCTGGAAGTGGAGCTTGACGATGATGACGATGACGATGACCCCGAGAAGAACACCGAGATTGGATTTCTGAAGGCGTACTTCAAGATCACCCAGAAGGCGAGCTTCCCCACAAGGGTTGGTGTTAAACAGGGCTGGAATGACTTCTTGCACATGTTGGATTCCCATACTGTGTGCTCATGTTCCCAAGTCATGGCTGCCAGATCCCCCACCAACAGATAGCAGGGGCTTTCATGAGCTTCCATAATGGTATGATGTGAGCCACAGTCTAAACTCCTTCCAGGGCATTACACGGGAGACTTCCATAATTATGAAGTGGAATACGAGGAGTAAAGACAATGGCTCAGATGGCTTGTGCTCATGCCCAATTCATGTGAAGAATGCGGGTCTGAAAAGACGATGGATTTGCAGGTTCCTCAGCAAAAGTGGATCGTGGTCGAACCCGGGCTGGAGGTCCACCTGCAGACACTTGCTGTGGATTAGTAATGAATGGAATGGAATAAAAGCTTAGGGCCTGAGGTTCTATAGTAACTCGTAGAGTCAGGAGACGTCGTTGGACTGTATCATTCTGTCATTCCCGATTCCACAAGCTTTATCCCTAACACCCTGCGGAACCCTGAGCTCCTAAATCCTGAGCCCTGCATCTTAAACACCAACCCAACACAGCACCGTAAAGACCCCTTAGTCTCACTTCATCTCCTGAGGATGGAGGAAGCTGACCGGCCTTCAGACAAAGAGAGCGCAACTCTGCACTGAAGTGATGGAAGCTTCTTAGGTCCTACAAAATTTGAGAACTATCCCCCGTTTTTTTAAAATGAGTACCAACTCCCCCTAAAGCGCCACGAAGAAAAAGTGATCTAACCAGACAATCACCTTACGTAATCATTGGGTGATGTCCGAAAGTAGGCCTCCAGCTTGGATGTCCCACACTTCTACAAACCCTTGGACTTGCAGAAAAGGAGTCCGAATGTTGGAAGCCCCCTGATCTACTGGAATCTCCTCCTAGCATGACACCGTATGAGGAAGGGGAGGGTCTATTATTGTTAATGTCAACGGGTCATGGATGGAAGCAGCATATGATCGCTACTAATCATCAGGAGCCATTTGTATTACTACTATTTTCTTGTTTTGTTATGAGAAGTATTCTTCTGATGATGATGATGATGATGACTGCAGTCGTTATTCTTATTAGACGTACAATCTGTCAGTATGTACTATTGGTATTATGCAAGTCCAGCCAAGGTACACATTCCCGTGAAGGTGACGACGACTATGCAGATCAAGTCTCTCAAGGAGCAGCAGGCGGGTGACTGTTTACAGTATTGCCTGTTCAGAAACCCAAAGTCATCTAAAGCAAGCAGAACGCTAGTAGACACGTGCTGTCTTACACTTGTAGGATCAAAAACTCTTGGGGCAGGTCGTGGACTTCATCGACAAAGCATACAAGTGGTACTTGGATATGCAGAGCCAGATGCAGTCCAAGAACAAGTCGCGGTACATGTACGTGCTCAACTCAGCTTGACCAGCAATTGTGGAGTTAGGTTGACGTGGTAAGCAGCTTCGGAATAGCGCTGCTTGCTAAGTTTGCCTGATTCGCCTGATCTTTGATCCCCTTTGTCCATGTAGTGGTCACTTGCTTTCAGCGTGTTGGGTGGCTAGCCTTGGGGCTTGATGCCGCTCATGCAGCTGACCAATGCAGGAGATGATCCCCTCCAAAGAGGAGACGGAGAAGAGATCATACCGAAGATACAAGTTGTTCGGTGCTCAGATGATGGGCTCTGAAGACTTGATGCCTGGCTTTGGCCCCGGATCTTCAGAATACCCGGAGAGGAGCGCCTGCTGTTGACTGCCTACTAGAGACGCGCGACTCGCGGTAGCATTGCACAGGCATGACCATTGAGAACAAACTGTTGGTGAGGTCTGGGGACAAGTCGTTTCAAAGCCTCTTCTTCCCAGAGAAGGCGGGCTACCACGCAGATGGAGTGATTTCAGTTCCATGGGAGACTTACTTTTGAGATGTTGTACGGGGGGATGGAATATGATCCGCAGTTGCTTCCAAAGGACACTCCCGACGAACTTCCTGTCATGTTAGGAAGTTTTCGTGGTCATTCTTGAGTAGGCAGTCATGTCCCAGGGCATATAGAGAACACATTTTAGGATTCCCACTCCTTGAGCATTGGTAGCGGAGGATGCTTTGGTACAGATCTTGGACCACTTCAATCAGCGAACGGGCAAGTCTCCTCCTCAGAAAGATCCACGCGAGCAGGCGCAAAAAGCACGTTCTCAAATTCTTGTTGATCTGCGGTTGTCATTTCGAGGGTTTCATCATTCAATGATGCACATGCAAGACCCTAGGCTCCGAGAATGCTGGTGCTTGTCAGGTATGGCATTCCAGGCTATCCACACAAGCTTGGATTGCTGCTATATGGACCTCCTGGAACAGGTTGGGCTCAGTGCAGATGGTGGACACCTGAGGAATTAGGTCTGTGGCCCACATGCACTCCATGTGTACAAACTCCGTGGCAGGCTCCTCTAAATCGCTCTTTATCCAGATTGCTAGCCGTGCGCAGGCAAAACCAGCTTGATCAAGGTCCTGGCCGAGCACTCAGCAGATTTGAATCCTGTGCGGCCTCTGCTTTTGGCATGACAATTTTTATCCCCAAAGAATAGCAATGTGGTCTTTTCTTATTAGCGGGAAGTACAAGCAAGTTTCTGAGCATTTGTGCTACCTTGGGCTTATGAGACTACAGCTGCTGAGTTCCTCAGACTCAGGCGCAGCACACGCAGCGATCCATCGTCAATGTGCCCCTAGCGCGCATCAAGACCAACACTGAATTGATGCAGCTGCAGCTCAGCTAGACTGTGAGTTGCTGTCGTTGCTGCCCAGTTGGTTTGGCACCCAAACCCTGAACCCTTCACTCCTTCATCATTGCCAACCGAAGGATCTTTGACCAAAAGTACACAGTGGAGGGCGTTGAGAACCCTATTCGGCTCCGAATCAAGGATGTGATTTTCGTCATGGAGGCGCGCCATTCACTTGAAACCAATCATTGTGAAGAAGGGCCATGTAGGGAGACTTTGACCGACCTCAATCTTGATGGGACCAGGCGGGCATTGTGACGGTTAGGAATCCTACACTGAGCTCTCGATGTATCTTTGGGTCCTCGGTGTGAGGACTCTATTATACGATAGTATATACTAGTATATTGTAGGGTTATCTTGGGTTTATGGATAATGGAAAAGAAAATGGAAATTATTATGATATGTACATATATATATATTCATGTATAGTATCCATAACCATTTGTTGTTGTCGGCCGTTCTGACAAATCGAGGACGTGGATGCGGCATCTCACGTCGTGCATCGCCAATGCCTTAGAGCCCACAGGGGTATCGGGCTTTGGCAAATCGAAGGTTTTTACTTCCACGATAATTAGCACATGATGGAGTGCCCTAAACCCTAAACCTTACAGAAGGGACTGCCATGGGGCCTGGGTTTTTGCATACCCACTATTTTCCTCGTTTTGTTGCTCGTTATCAGGCCCTTGGGGTTTTTGCATACCTAGATTC